CTGGCAGGATAATCTTTCCCAAAGGCCACTCCGGTTGTGAGTTGAAGCCAACCAGTGGTGAAGTTGTCGGGGCCAAATCCGTATCTCGGAGCTTGAGCTGTTTGAAAGCGTCGTAGTACATGATCTCGACCGAGCTTCCCTGATCGATCAAGATCCGTTTGACATCAAATTCTTTGACGCGGAGTGTAACCACCAGGGCATCGTTGTGCGGCGTCTGGATGCGCTCTAAGTCTCTTGAAGAGAAACTGATCACTTCTTTCTCTTTGGTCTTCCCCCTTTTGATCGCAGGCTGAACCGACACAACTTCCCTCATGTGTTCTGCCTTCTTGATCATACCTCAGAGCTCGCATACATGCGCCGGTTCCACTATGACGTGGATGACGTTAACCACCCCTTGCGGAGGCGCATCTCGGTCATCTGGTCCCCGCGGATCAACCGGAGCTTGGTTGGTCTTCACGCCGCTATCAATGTAAAGGTCCAGGTGTCCGGCTGCGACTAGCTCTTCCAAGTGTTGCCTCAAAGGCAAACAATCCTCTGTCCGATGGCCTCGCTCCCGGTGAAACGTGCAACGGTACTGCAGATTGATGCCCTTCTGTCCGTCGCCTAATTTAGCAGGAAACCAGACATACTCCTCGTCACGGATTTCACTAAGTATGCGATAGATTGGAATCTTAAAGACCTTGGTGATGCCTGTCCTTGCTTTCAACCTTCTGTTAGCATCGGCTACGTCATCCCGGGGGTAGTCATCCCGGTCATTCCGACGTCCCCTACTGTGGTTTTTGCGATTATTGCCACGGTCCGAGTCCTCAGCGCGGTCGCTGGATCGGTCGGCCTCCTGCTTGACCGCGTGCACTTTGCCAGCTGACCGCTTGTCTGTTACTACCGGAGTTGCCTTCACGGTAGATGCTGACGCAACATCCTCCACTCGGATGTGCTCATTGATACGCTGCATTAGCTGTCCCATGGATGTCGGCTGGTGCATGGTAAGCGAGTCCCGCAGTCTATGTCCGACCGGGAGACCTCGCTTGTATTGTGTGATTGCAAGGTTGGTCGGGCAATCTAAAATCTCGTTGAAGGTCTCCCAATATCTGGAGTTGTATGCCTTCAGCGTGTCGCTCGGTTCCATCTTGACACTCAGGAGGTGATCAACTTCCTTTGGTGTTTTGGTGTTGGTCTTGAAGCGCGTCACAAAGGCTTCGGCCAACTGCTGCCACCTTTCAATGCTCCCCTCCGGTAGCCTCTCGAACCATTTCAAACCCAGCTCGCCCAAACTCGACGGGAAGATCAAGCACATAAGAGCGTCATTTCGCCTATGTCCGGCCATGACCTGTCAGAAATGACTTACATGCATATACGGGTCGGTTTTTCCGTCATAGAGTGTGAACTTTGGCTGGTGGAAGCCCGCCGGAAGCGGTGCGGTCTCAATATCCACGGAGAATGGGGTGGCACTCAGCCTTGCCAAGTTTGTATCTACAAGGAGAGGCGCGGCTGGGAGGGGTTGAGGCATTCCGACCTCCTCGCTGGCGTGAACCCCATAGGATAGCCGCTGGAACGCCGGCACCCTTTGAGCCTCCCGCCGGCGAGCCCGCTCCTTCAAAACTGCCCGCAAATCTTCTGAATGAGCAGAATAAGAATACCTCGACGTCGTCGCCGGACGTGAGGGTCGGTAGGTACTATCTTGCGCGCTGGATTTCTCTTCGTGCGCGTCAGAGTCTCCAACCTTGTAACTTCTGGTGATTGAGATGGACGATGTACGCCGCTGGCTCTGACTGCTTGAACGGCGGAGTTGGGTGCGGTCATTGTGGTCTCCCTCTCCAGCTACACCCTTTCCTTTGACATGCCGCTTCAGCTCCTCTATCTCCACCGCCATTCGACGGATGACGGCGTCCTGGTCCCTTAACTTGTGTTCCAGATGTCTGGCATGTGATTCTCTCCGCCGCTGATGGCCGTCTGGACTCCGTGAATGACCATAACTTCTTCCGCGCTTATCCCGCACATTTCTTGAATGTCCTCCTGGAGAAATCTCCAGGTCCGCCATCGGAGGAATGATGGCGGGATGTCTTTCTCTCCGTCTGCCCGACTCTAGGGTAACTCTGTCGACGGCGGACAGTGGAATCTCCTCGATGTTCGCCATGGATGGCGATCAGGTGAGCCTGGAAGACAAGGTTTTGTCTGTCGATTTTCCACAGACGACGCCAATTGTGCGGGGAGCAAATATCCAGGTGAGCCCGCACTCCTTGTTTCCGAGCTCCGATCCTATCCGATCACCTGCGCGCACAACAGTAATGAGCTACCCGGCGGTATGTGGCCGGAAAACCCCTCCGACGATCAAGTCAGACACACAAACAGGGATCGAGAGAGAGAGGACTCAGTTTCTCTTAGTGTTTTCCTCACCAAATGTCATCTGCCCAGCATGGGGGGTGCAGACTTACTTATATACCTTCTGCGCGCCAAATCCACTCCCATTCGTCTCTCGACATGTGGTGCTACTATTCCATTTGTCAGCACAAATCTTGCTGAACATCACCTAACCCGACTGCCAGCCCACTCTTTTGGGAGCTCTGCAGCCGGGTTGCATCATCTCGGCTGTAGATGGCCGTGTTGTATAGCTGGCCAGAGCGCTCCGCTCGCCGCGCTCCGATTCGACCGAGCTCGGGCATATCCCGGCATCGCCGAGCTCGGGATAGCTACCCTTGTTTGCCATGGGCCTTACTGCCGAGCAAACACATGTAGCTCGGTCCAACCTTATCTTTCCGGGCGCCGGACAACCCATTTGACAGGCTTCGATACCAAGAAGTTATGTAGCTCGGTCGAACCACGCCTTGCATTAACCGAGCAAGATCTTCCAAGACATGGCCGTACTACCTCGGCCCAACCCTTGTTCGGCCCAAACCGTCCGGCCCAATTCTAGATCATAAATCTCCCTCTCACTCATGATTTAAACTAATTACTACTACTACGGAGTAGTACTTGAATTTGCTATAGAAATATTGAATAATTTTTATTGTGAATAACTTATGATGTATTTGGAAAGTGTAGTTACCTGTCTAAGCATCTAATCTTATTGTTTAATAACTATTAATGTTTTTGGTGTACCTAACTCGCTTTTTCACAACCCCCCTAAAAAAAAAAAAAAACTGATCTTACTGTTGCTATTGTTGATAGTTTATCCAATTTGAAAATACTTGTTGCTTAGTACACATTTTCCTACCTTCATTTATTCACTCAACTTAATCATGAAAAATGGGGGGCTTGAGAACTACCTCATGTGCCTATATATGCTGTTTAAGGCCTTCTTTGGCTCTCACATCCAATGAACACAATGGGTTGCAGGTTCCTTATCTTCATATTTTTCAGTTCTCTTCCATTTGTTGTTCTTTGTCAGTATTCATCCTTCAACAAGATTCAATTGCCACCAAATGTCACAAGTGCGGTGGCTGTCACCTTCGACTTTTTGGGAAGAGGACCTTTTGTTGCTGTCTCTGATGGCAGGATTCTCCAGTGGCTAGGCCCCTTATTTGGTTTCATGGATTTTGCTTACACTGCACCAAACAGGTAAACATTTCCTTTACTTGTACAAAAATCAATTACAAAACTAGATACAATCCTAGGGTTCTCTGATCGATTTTGTGTACCTAGGCTTTTTTAACACGTAAATGCTAGCATTAGAAGTTAGGCTTATGACAAAACAATATAATAATAAATAATAATAAAAAAGTGAAAGAGCTTCAATGTAAACTTTCTTGTGGGAGGGCTTTTTTTTTTTTTTGGTTGGAGAAAATATAAGTTACTAAAAAAAGTAAAAAAGTTCATATTATTTGGAGAAGCTTTCGTGGGAAGTTTAGAGTTTGAATTCAACTATTCAAAAATTTAAAAGTTAAAAGTCAAAAAGTCAATAAGGATAGAATGGTCATTTTGCTTTTACTATAATATTTTATTACACTTCTTTTTGTAAAAAGTCAAAAAGTTATCCCAAAATATACATCTTTTTTTTTTACTTTTTTAGTAAAAAAATTAATAAGTGTACTTATATAGCATATCCGTAGCAAAATATATTTCCACACGAGTTGAAAAAAAGAAATAAATTACACAACCCATAAATTCTTTTACATAAGTGTGTGCAGAATGTTGTATTCCTTGATGGGAAGTTATTCAGTATCACTACAAGAAATTGCATTTTTCGCAACGCAACAAAATATGTTGCTAAAAGGGAAAATTCGTTGGCAAAGAGTTTTGCCGACACACAAAGCTACGTTGGCAACCCGTAGGCAAAAGTGAGTTGGCAAAAGTTTTTGCCGACGAAATTATCATTGCGTTGGTAAAAGTAATGCCTTTAGCGACGAACATAGTCGCACATTAAGCCCTTGGCTTGAATTTACATGTAATACATCAAAAATAAAACGACAAATGTATGTCCGCCTCTAGCCTCCCAAGCTATGTCCTTGGAGGTGGCATGCTACCTGTACCTGAAAATGATATTCCCATATAGGGTGAGCCACAGCCCAGTAGAAATACACTAAACCAACCATGAACAATGACTAAAAGA